CCCCCTATCTCTCTCAGTCTCTCTCTCTCTTTCTCTTTCTCTCTCTTTCTCTCCCTCCCTCCCTCCCCCCCCTCTCTCTCTCAGTCTCTCTCTCTCTTTCTCTCTCTTTCTCTCCCTCCCTCCCTCCCTCCCCCCCTCCTTCCCCCCCCCCTCTCTCTCTCTCTCTCTCTCTCTCTCTCTCTCTCTCTCTCTCTCTCTCTCTCTCTCTCTCTCTCTCTCTCTCTCTCTCTCCACCTGTTCCAAGTGTTAGTGTTCACAAATTGCACCTGTTTTTCATTTTTTTCCTGGTCGACGTATTTCATTACTTTTTTTACATTGTTATCTCTATGCACAAGTGTTACAGTCTGCAATTTCCATTAAAAAAATTGCACTTGAGATAACACTTGTAGAATTTTCATAACAAAGGGAATGAATGATAGGAAGATAAGAATATATTATTAAATGATTTATATGCATGTAATGAATATCCTATGAATTCTCATGAAATTCAGTTTACCAAAGATATATGTACGAATTTGTCAGTGTTAAAAAAAACACACACAAAAATTGTGTCTTAAGTTTCTTTAGTGTAGATTGATTCGTAACGAGGAGGTGAATGCCATTTTTCTCATGAACCATCTTTGAAACAAAACGAAAAAAAAACTCAAAATACACACAGAAAAAGGGAAAATATAGAGCAAAAAAAATCAGCAATTGAAAAAAGATAATATATGAGTTATAAAAAATGTTTCCATAATAATGATTACAATAAGTTGTAAACATTTTCCCGTTAATGATTGTAAGTTGCGATTGTAAGTTGTAACTATTTTCTCAATAATTGTTGACAAAGTGTAAACATTTTCCTGATAATAATTTTCACAAAATGTAAATATTTTTGTATAATGATTTTAACAAGTAGTAAACAGTTCCCAATAATTATATCAATTTGTGATATATTTCCCCAATAATGATATTAATAGTTTCCAATATTTTCCCAATGATGATTTTAACTTATTTACTTTAACAAGCTGTAAACAATTCCCCAATAATTTCAATAAATTATAAACATTTCGCCCTAATAATTTCAACAAGCTATAAACATTACCCCCAATAATAGGCATTTTCCTTAATAATTTCAGCAAATTATAAAACATTTCTCCCAATAATTTCAGCAAATTATAAACACCCCCCGCCCCCCAATAATTTCAACAAACTATAAAACATTCCCCCCAATAACGACACTAACAAGACCGACATTTAAACAGAATGCGGAGGTTTCTTTAACACCGCGGAAGGTTCAGTATCGTACCCTGGCGTAGAAGGCGTCAACTACAACCACAACATCGACTGTGTCTGGATCATTAGTGTCCCGAGAGGCAAGGTCATCAACGTGACATTTGACCACTTCCACTTGGAGGCAATGGGTTGTCGTTATGACTGGTTGCAGGTAATGTTTTTTTTTTTTTATATGTATATTCATTTTTTTTATTATGTGTGATTGGTCTAACGAAGGGTTGTCGTTATGATTGGTTGCAGGTAATGTTTTTATTTGTATTTTCATTTTTTTTATGTGTGATTGGTCTAACGAAGGGTTGTCGATATGACTGGTTGCAGGTAATGTTTTTTTTTTATTTGTATTTTTTTTTTTTTTACTATGTGTGATTGGTCTAACGAAGGGTTGTCGTTATGATTGGTTGCAGGTAATGTTTTTTTTTTTTTTTTTTTTTTGTATATTCATTTTTTTTTTATTATGTGTGATTGGTCTAACGAAGGGTTGTCGTTATGATTGGTTGCAGGTAATGTTTTTTTTTTTTTATATGTATATTCATTTTTTTTATTATGTGTGATTGGTCTAACGAAGGGTTGTCGTTATGACTGGTTGCAGGTAGTGTTTTTTTTATTTGTATTTTTTTTTTTTTTTTTTTTTATGTGATTGGTCTAACGAAGGGTTGTCGTTATGATTGGTTGCAGGTAATGTTTTTTTTTATTTGTATATTCATTTTTTTTTATTATGTGTGATTGGTCTAACGAAAGGTGGGGTAGGGGTTGATGGGGAGGGGAATGTCTAAAGATACAAGAGATACAAAAGAAATAGGATTGATCTAAGATACGAGAAAAAGGATAAAAGAAGGGGTGAAAAAAGATTTTTTGTGAAATAAACCAAAATACAAGAAAAAAAAAGAAAAAAAAATAATTAAAAAAGAAAAGAAAAAAGAAAAGAAAGAAAGAAAGAAATATATATATATATATATATATATATATATATATATATATATATATCAAATCTCCACCTCAAAACATTAAGCCAAAAACCTCTCCATAGATCCACGACGGCAGAAGGTCGACGGCGCCCCTGATAGGACGCTACTGCGGACAGACGCTTCCGGGCGCCAACGGCACCGTCATCAGCACCCACAACGTACTGTACCTTTGGTTCCGCTCGGACGAATCACACGCCGCCACGGGGTTCAGCTTGACGTGGAACGCTACTGATCCAGGTACTTATACACACATACATACA